AGAGGGAGACACAGAAACAGAAGCAGGCTCCAGGCTCCGAGCTGTCAGCACAGAGCCTGACGTGGGGCTCAAACTCACAGAGCGTGAGATCATGACCTGAGCCGAAGTTGGCCACTTAACCGACTGAGGCACCCAGGCGCCCCTTATAATGTTTGTTTCTTGTTCACATTTCTTCCCCAGGGGACATTTGTATGTGTGTTTATCTGTGGTGGGGACTAGCCCAAGAAGGTCAAGCTCCAAAGTTCTCTTTCAGCTTTCAAAGGAAACCTTTAAAAGTTGGGCCTTGGCTCAGAAATACTCTTCCCACGGTCTGCAAGAGTTCTCTCTTTGGGAATTTGCTGGCCACATCATAATATTCATCTACTCCATTTGGCTGTGGACTTGTCAGTGGGGCAGGAAATTATTATTTTTAGAGTACTGAGTGAAAGATAAAAATGAAAAGAGAAACTCTACTTTGGCAACCAGTTGCAGGTCCTAAAATATTTGTGTTTTATTTTTGTACATGAGCCCACCAGTTGCCTAATAGATTCATGATAAGTTAGAGAGCAAATGATGCTATACTGTTTCTATAAAGGGCTTGGAAGGAAACTTCATTAATTAGGACTTCAATATTTCAAGCACACAGAATTTTCATTGTTGTTGGCTTTAAAGGTCTGAATCTGGATTATTTATGGTTAAACAATTAAAAAATACTGATTTAATCAATTTGCTAGTTTTTCTCCTTTATTAGAAGCAAAATTTTCAGAGGGCTGATTTTCCTTGTTTTTAAATTGGAAAGTATGGTTTATGAGCCACACTTTACTTATTGAACAGCTGTTTACTGAGTGACTGCTATGTGCCCAGGGCAGTTTAAGGCTCATAAGGTATATTTGTGAACAAATAAGGATCCAACCTCATCCCAACAGGCAGGGGCAGCATACATTATAAATAAATTTAAGTAATAAATGAGTAAACTGTGCAGCATATTAAAGTGTGATAAAACTTTAGAAATAAGAAAAAGTTAGGGAAGAGGGACAGGGAGGGGAACACCACACTGGCAGCTATAACGTCTTAAGAGTTTTATGGAGGTTATTGAAATTTGGGACTTGTGTCACATTTAAATCTCTATAACTTTCTATATAATAAATTTATGAGTATAATCAAAATGAACAGGTGAAATCAGTAAAAATGGTGGAGTAAGTCCCTCTAAAAATTCTCCTCCACAAAAGCAATGAGAATACTGTAAAAAATAGAATCAACTTTTTTGAACATGCTTCATGAACAGTGAAACAATCATGTCACTTCTTTCAGTATGTTGGTAGTCACCATACATCTCTTAATTGTTTATACACAGACGGCAAGAATGTAGTTGTGTTGCTTCCTTGTCTCCCAGTGATAAACCCATGTGACATAAAAAAAAAAAGGCGGGGGACACCTGGGTGGCTCAGTTGGTTGAGCGTCCAACTTCAACTCAGGTCATGATTTCATGGTTCATGAGTTCAAGCCCCACGTCAGGCCCTGTGCTGACAGCTCAGAGCCTGGAACCTGCTTTGGATTCAGTGTCTCCCTCTTTCTCTGCCCCTCCCCTGCTCATGCTCTGTTTCTGTCTCTCAAAAATGAATAAACGTTAAAAAAATTAAAAAAAAAAGATAACAGAATTGGTCAACAAAATGAAAGTGCAGCAAAGAAATGAAAAGTGATAAGGCAGGAAGTGAAATTCAATTGAACATATATGGAGTCATACAAGAAATGGCTGATTGTGGGAATGTTAGTACTGCTATCATGAGAGAATACAGATACACAGCCAGAGGAATTTAGTGAAGGCTACTTTATCTACATAAAGGAGGAAAATGCTTGTGACAAAAGGGAAGAAGATGTTCCAAAGGAACTTATGCCAGCAAAAAGTCCTTCACATTCAAGGAATTCTTAGAGATAAATTTAATGAGATTGTAAAATACAAAGAAGAGAATGTTGGAAGCTGATCCAAACTTAAAAAGGTATATGACAATTCATCAAAACATAGTGAAGATACTTGTTCCATATTTTAATAAAAGAGGCAAGCATTGTTCAAATTACTTTTGGTATGTTTTTTGCAAGAAAAACAATTCTCAATTTCTCTAAATGCTTTAGATTACAAAGTAGTAAATAAATATTAGTTTAGTATGTTTTGATTTCCCTCTACATTTATAACTGACAGTAAGAAAGTTTTTGATGCTTTGACAAAAAAATGTAAAGGTCACAGAACAATGGTAGTTTCTCCCACTGACTATTAAGGTCTCTTTGGTTTCAACTTGCAATGTCATTTTAATATTCTGGCAGTACTGTGAAAAATGGTTTCTTTTTAAAAATTTTTTAGGATTTCATATATATATATATATATATAAATTTAGCACAAAATTATGAGAAGATAGCATTTCAAATCAAATCAACAGTAAAAGGATAGGTGCTTCAGAAAAGGAAGCTGAGAGGGGCGCCTGGGTGTCTCAGTCGGTTGAGGGTCTGATTTCAGCTCAGGTCATGATCTCACAGCTCGTGAGTTCGAGCCCTGCATTGGGCTCTCTATGCTGACAGCTCGGAGCCTGGAGCCTACTTCGTACTCTGTGTCTCCCTCTCTCTCTGCCCCTAACCCACTCAAATTCTGTCTCTCTCAAAAATAAATAAACATTAAAAAGAAAAGAAAACTGAGAAAACTTGGCCATGGTCAACAGCTAGTATGTGGAAAAACCAGGATATGAACACAGGGATGCTAACTCTACAGAATGTGCCAACTAGTATAGTATGTTGACTTCACGTAGAATATATTCAATATACAGTTTCTTCCATAGGGGTTTTGAATTCATAAAAATTTAAAATTTTGTAAATCAGGAAAGAACATATATGAAATTAAGTGGCAAAGTACAGACTGGGAAAACCAAGGTATTGCAACACCTGACACAATAAAGGTATTAATATACACTAAAGGGAGTAAAATTGATACATCCTGGCAATTTGGCAGTTTGATGGTGATTTCAGGATATTATTCTAAGGAAATAATCAAATTGGTATGGAAGGATATATGCGTGAGGGTGTTTATTATAATACTTGTAGTTTTCAATATCAAAATTTTGTAGACAACCTTAATATCCATCTACAGAGTTGTTGTTTTGTTTTATTGTAACCTCTATGCCTGATGTGGGGCTTGAACTCATGACCGTGAGATTAAATGTTGCATGCTCTACTGACTGAGCCAGCCAGGTGCCCCAGTAGAGGATTTTAAATGAGAAGTTAGGAAAATTTCTTAAAATGTAACAAAATGCAGCTAACAAAAATAAGTTAAAATGAGTATGCCCCTTGCCCCAGTGACCCATCATTTCCGCCTCTAGTCTCTCCTTTTCAAATTCATTTTCTACACAGATGCCAAAGGCAGATCTAATCATGTCACTCCCTTGCTTGACACCCTCATGGCTTGGCAATGCAAAATCCTAAAACAAGCTTCTAAGGCTGGAGTATCTTCTCTCTCTTCCCTTAATAGTCCAGTAACACAGGACTCAACAGGTTTCTTGGCTGGACTTTGTGCCCAGTTATTCTGCCTAAGGATTTAGCATTCCATTGAGCCCCACTGGTTAGTATCACCCTGCTCTTTTAACAATACCCTTCGCTACCTTTGGAGTTCTTACACAAATGTTATTAAATATTGTGTATGCAATTATTTAATATACTCTCTCCCATGAGACTTTAAATTCCAAGAGAGCAAAATTTATCTGTTTAGCCAACATTTTCCCCATTGTGCCTAGTATAATGCCTGACATGGTTGCTTGATGCATTCATTGAATGAATGAATGAAAAGCAAGCTACAAAATAAACAGTGTAAGTCCAATTTGGTAAAGGAGGGGCCAAACCAAGAATAGCCCCAGCAGGTACATGCTGGCCAGGCTCTTCCCTGAGAAGGGGAATGTGCTCCTCTGATAGGTGGAATGAGGGGGCAGGCTGCACAAGGGGGTGGGAGCTTGCTGGGAAGAACAGAGCTGGATGAGAGTGGTAGCCTCAGGGGCTCCTACCCTTCCACCTCCCTGGACAGGAAGGAGCTGCCACAAGAGAGAGGTAGGTCTCCTGTGGACCACCCAAGGTACAGGCATCGGAGTCACAAGATGAGGGCTGCCTGGGAGGCTCAGCTGGGGTATTAGACACAGAGTTATGGGGAGATAGGCCTTGGGAAACGCACAGCCCCAGAGGGAGGGTTCAAGGCCAAGGCCTGGAGTTTCCCAGCCAGGGCAGCATGGAGGAACATTGGGAGAATGAATGCCACTTCACTTGAGACCGTGCTTGAGGTCAACTCCTGCTGGGGGAGGGAGATGGGTCTATAAGCTCAGGAGATCTCTCACCAGGTACTTGTTCTTAAAGACTGCACCCTAGCTGTGTGGCAATTGGAGGCAGTGTGTTGGGTGAATGAGTAGCTGTGCTGCTGTGTCTTTTGTCAAAAGCTTGACCTGGCTGGTTTATCAGCCATCTCAAGGCTTTGTCTTTGACGATGTCAAATTCTTCTGCCTACCTGGTTCCTGAAGGTGGATTCCCATCCTCCATCCCAGAAGATGCCAGGCCAGGCTTTGCACACCACTGCCCCCTCTCCCAGTAGCGTCCTTATTTCCCTGCTTATCTCCAAATTTAATGTTTGTCACTGTGAGACTCACCACTCCTACTTGACACATGATCTCCCTGGCTTCCAGCCAAGAGCCCTGAAGTCCTAGAAGAACCTTCTCTGTCATCCCTCTGGAGCCCAATAAACACATTCTGAAGGAATGAATACATCCATTTATTAAACTTTCCCATGTGCAAGATCTTCTTTGATGGGGTGTCATGGAGGCCCTTAAGGGAGGAGCACTGGGGCAGAGACCTGCATAAGGCTTAGGAGCAGGTTTAAAGTCTAAGCTTTGAGTTGGGTGAAAGGGAGCTGCTGAAGATTTCAGAGAGGACATAACTGGCTTTAACCTTGTACAGTCTTGGAGATGACACAGCAGATGGGGAATCAGGCTGGAGGCGATGCAGAAGCATTGAATACGGTATGGTGGTGGTGATTTAATGTTGAGAACATGTAGGTTCTGAGCCAAAGAAGGTGATGGCACTGTGTAGTTTGAGACTGGGTTGGAGGGAGGGCAGAGCTCACACTTTGGGTATGGAGGGAGAGGAGGAAAATACAAGTATGTGAGTGAGAAGATGCTTAGCTGCTGCTTCATTCTTGGGGCAGGTGACCAAAGAGGATAGCCATTACTCCAATGCCTTGTTTGGGGAGGAGCCTCCACCACCCTCCAGAGGTTTTAGTTTTGAATCCAGGCTGAAGCCAGAGAAAAACAAGGAGCAAAAGGGGGGGTGGGGGGAGCCAAGAAAAAAAAAAAAGCAACAACAAAAAACTGAAGTAAAGTCCATGGGGTGGGGAGCTAGAAGGCCCCCTTCAAGTAGCTCAGGCCTGGCAGCTTGTGCTGGGCTTGTGGGATTCCCTCTCACAGAGGATGAACAACTCGGGAAGCAAGCCCGAGCACGCACAGGGCTTGTGGGTCTGTGGGGCTGAGCCACCAGGGTCAACCCACCACCCCCACTCCAAGCAGACACAGGGGCGTGCTGTCTTTTTCTGAGCATGTCAGCTCAGGTCAGGAGTATGCAGACCCCACTGGTCCAGGGAACATGTCTTCACCCTGGGCGCCGCCTAGTGGGACCTGTGCAGGCAAGGTCCTGCTGGCCCGAGGCTGCCCCCTGGTGCCGCCTCACTCCTCCCAAGGGCTCATGTCAGTGTCAATGGCCACGCAGTTGTACGCCGCATAGCGGAGCTTCTCCTCGCACACCTTGGCACTGAGGGAGACGGAGACTTGGTCAGCACCAGGTGCAGAGGTCCTTCTGTCACTACGAGGGTCAGTGCGGTCTGTGCGCGGGGTGATGGGTGATGGGGTTCCAGTTTGTGCACTTCAGTACTGGAAGTCCTCCTCCTTCCTAGGATACCACTCCTTCCCCCACTCCCCACTCTCTAGGTTTGAGCCTAAGAAACCCACCTGGCATAATGTGGTAGGAAGAGGGTGCTTGAACAAGTTGAAGACTCAGGCAGCGCATCTGTAGTTTCATAGCTGGGAGCGTGGAGGGGCCACAGATTAGAAAGAATTGTAGGGGCACAGGGTAGGGGTCTGACATGTGAGTATGTGTGGGGGGAAGAGGGCAAAGGCCAGCAACAGACCCTTTGGACCCCTACCCCTGCCACCTGCACTCACCCCAGTTTGTCTGGGTAGATATAGATCCGTGCTGGCAGACGGCTGCGGCCAGTGACAAAGCGCAGGAAGCGGCTCCGGTCCTCTGGATGGAGAAGGAAATCAGTGCCTGCACTAATGGTGGGGGAGGTTCTACAATTTCTACCCTGTTTCTGTATCCCACAAGTGGAGTCTGAACCCAGGCATCACTCTCCCCTCTTCCACTGACCGTTGGTGAAGTTGTTCAGTGCTTCCCAAAAATATTGCACTCGAGTGTCAGATGGCTCGAAGTCCTCAAACCGGGCTGGGGACAAGGTCAGAATTCATTCTTAGGTCCCAACCTACCTAGTCCTTAAGCCTCTATCCCTGTGTTGCCCTGCCCCACACTCACTGAGCTTTCGTAGAGCGTCCACAGTGACCTCTGGGTCCCCGCACACTTTCTTCTCCAATTCCTGCCAGGTCAGCAAGTCCAGCACAGCCTGTGGCACCACCTTTAGCAGTCCTGCCTGCATGGCTGCCACCTGGAGAAGGAGGGAGAGGCCTGGCTAGGGAAGAGGGCACAACTCCCAAATCAGTGTGTGGTGGAGTCACTTGGCATCCACTCTTATAGAGATAATGGAGGACATGACATGATGTTTGTTTAGCACTAGGGGCCACCTAGTTCTAGTTCATTCCCACCAACAAGCAGGAATGTAGGGCAGAGGAATGGTAGGGGCCAGAGTTCTTGGGATTGGGTACTGGTAGCCTATTAGGCTAGGCTCTGATTATCAGGAGCTGTGCAAAGCTCTCTGTTCTCCTGGCCTCTGGGTGGTACCTGCTCCTTGCTCTCTTCTAGCCGTGTCTTCTGCACCAGTTGGATGAAACGGGAACGGTCTTCATATCCCACTATGATGCCTGCACCCCCGGGGATCAACTCTACTACTTGCTGGTCACTCAGTACAGTGGTGAATGTTAGTTCCTTCCCAAATTTGAACTCAAATGTCTCCTTGTCCATTCCTTCCATCACTTCCAAGAGCTTCACCTGGGGGTTGGAGAGAGGCAAGGAGGTCAGCCTTTCATTGTTGAGACAATGTTGTTTTCTCTCAAGATGCTCACAGGGAAGCAGGAGAGGCAGACAGGCAAGGCAGTCCCATGCAGGTAATGAGGGCAGTGAGGGGGCCAGTACAAGGGCTATGAAAGCATCAAGACAACACTTCCTTGGCTGCCAGGGAAGGTATCCTGCAGGAAATGGCATCCAAGCTAAAACCTAAATGATGGCTGGTTGTTGGCTGGGCCACAAGGAAGTCAGGAGAGAGAACATCTTGAAAAAAGGTTGAAAGAGCAAAAGGCCTGTGGAATCTGTTTGGCTAGAGCCTGAATGTGAACTAAGTGGACAGGCATACAGAGGTCATATAAGGTTTGTCAGGTTCTGCATTTTACCCTAAGCCCAGAGCAGAGACACTGAAGGGTTTAAACAAGAGGAGGGAAATGAATTACTCTGGCTGCAGGAGATCAGATGGGTAAGAATGGACATAGGAACACCAACTTTGCAGTCACTGATTGTGTCAGAAAGGAAAGTGGCCTGAACGAGGAGGAGAGCGGTGAAATAGAAGTGGACAGATTCCAGAGGGAGATGTAACAGAATGTGGAGGTGAGGAAAAAGGAGGAATGAAGGCTGACACTGAGGCCCTTGGTATGGGGAAGGGTGGGTAGTGGTGCTGTTCTGAGACAGGGACCCCTAGAGGGCAGTAGACTGGGAGGTGATGAACTCCCAGTGCTGAGCCTAAGATTCCATCTGGGGCAGATGTCCTGCAGGCAGATGCATATATGACTCCGAACTCAGGAAAGAGGCTGGAGATGGAGGTAAGATTTTAGGGGTAACCAGAATAAAGAAAGTAGTTGTAGCCATGGGAACAGAAGGAGCACATGTGAGGTTAGAGAAGGTTCAAGACATCCTTTGGGAGCAGCAATCTTCAGGGGCTGCATAGAGTAAACACCAGGTCCAGGCCTTACTTACCAGCACAGAGTCCACAGCTGGGAAGTCCTTGCTCCAACTCACTTCCTCACCAGAGAGCTGCTTCCATACAAAACCAGGCAGAGCCAGGACCTATGGGACAAATAATCACTATGGTATTCTCACATTGGGCTGCCCAGGTTTGGGTGGTTCTTCTTCTTTCCAGGGGCCAGGCTCATCTGATGTGGGTACAGATTAGGCTACTCACCAGGAATTCCTTACCCCGAAGGGCAGCCCCCATCAGCTGTCCAATCCATTCATATTTGGCAAAGTCTCGGCAGGAGGGATTAGGCACATACATGTCCCGGGCCTCACCAGTGCCATTGCCCTGCCCCCAAGATAGAGCTGTCAGCATGGCATGGAATGGACCCTACTTTGTTGCCCCAGATTCTCCAAAGACTTGCCTGCACACTTTCCACCAGAGGCCCTGAATGATCCCTAACTGTAGAACAGCCCCTCCTTTCCTGTCTGCCCAGAGGCTGCCCCAGGCAACTCGGTCCCTCCTCTGCTCCCTCTCTAGTTCAGCACCTGGGAGGTTTGCAGAGATGAACAGCAGAAACAACTTGAGAAGTAGAGATAGGAGATTACCTGGTTGGCTGTGCGCACAAAGAAGGGCAGAGGCACAGGGGTGTCTGCTGAGCTAGGGCACAACTCTTCTGACATGTCTGCCAGGCTATCTCGGAAACCACCCCCTGAAATGACACAGATGCTCTCCACTGGGGAATTCAAGAGTCCCAGCCCCCATAAAGGGTTAATAAGCAGGTCTTCTATCTTGGTTAGCTCGTGACCCCAGAAGCCTCTACCACTCTGAAGGCTGGACCCTTATTATCCTTTGTCAGGGCCTTACCTTGGTCAATGATGCCTTCTGCAATGAATTTACACTCCCACCACTGGTCATAGCGCATGGGCCACCTGTAAGAAGGAGTGGATGCTGGGCCATCCATGCTGGGCCAGGGCTCAGGATGGTTCACAGGATACCAGCCAGAAGTAGGGGCTACGGAGGGGTAATGGTGAAGGGTTCCAGAAGCAGTGTGCAGGTATATATAGTTTATGTAACTCCAGCACAAATCCCTCAACCTCATGCCATACCTGTAGTCCAAGGGCTTTTCATACTTGTCAGAGGGCTTGAGGCCTTCATAAACCTGGGGGCAGGGGAAAAGGGAGGGAGTTATAGGAAAGTCTGTTTCAAGATCTGGCCCCACTCTAGACCAAAGACCTTACTCAGGTTCCTCTTGGTCCAGCCCCCAGGCCCTTTACTGACCCTCCCTTGGTCCGACCCCAAGTGGTCCAGACCTGGGTGAAGACTGCGTTCTTGCAGGCAGGGTCCCTTAAGGGGCAGGCACGGTGTTCCATGGCAAGGCGCCGGTTGATGTACAGGCGTGGCATGAAGCTGGGCTTGCTGCTTTCTGAGTCACGCAAGCACTGGGCCACTAGCCCTGGCCTTTGGCGTGATAGCAGCAGGAACTGCTTCACTTGCTGGTGAGGAGAGGTGGCCAGAGCAAGACTGGCAGGCAGTCAGTCTCTGTCCAGGACCCGGAACCTTCCTCTATGCCTGGACCCAATTCCATGGTTCTAGTCCATGCCTAGTTCATCCCCCCCACGACCCTTCCCTTCCTTGTTTCCCGTCTCTCCCTTAGTCCAGTCACCGGGGTTGGGGGGGCGGGTGCTTTCTAAAACAAAAAATCAAACTTTGTCATTACCTACTTAAAACCCTTCCAATGGCTTCACTGACCTGGGACATAGTCCTTGCTTCACAGCCTGGCCCATAATGCCCTCTGATATCAGGGCCTGCTATTTGCCTCCCCACTCCCAGCCTCATCCCCAGGCCATACTCACATTTACCTGTATACTTCTCTTAAGTCATCTAGCAGCTAACAACTCCCAGGATGCATCTCTCATGCAACCTGCCTTGTGCACACTGTCACTTCTTCACCCCAGCTCTTGTATATTTCATATACTATCTGGGAGAACAGCATGCCTACCACTGAATTTTAACTATCTGTATCTTGCTTTTTTCCTACATTCCCAGAGCCCAGCAAAGGTCCAGGCCTAGAGTAGGTTTGAAGAACTCTGTGTAAAAGGGTGAATGCTTGCATGAACAGAAAGGAGGAGCCCACTGCTGAGACCAATACTAGGTGGGCCAGGCTCACCTTAATCTCACTGAAGGTGCCAAGCGTGTGATCCCAGGCAGGTACCAGGTGGTGTAGGACACTGTCTAGGATCTTTATGAATCTGGGGTGAGTGGATAAAGATAATGCAACTAAAGAAAGTAGCATGGATTTAAGACCCTCTCACTCCCCAACACATAAAGACAGGAGAAGGCAGGGCCCAGGGGCTGCCCTGACCCTTGAAGTGGAACAGCTTACAGTACAGGGCCTTGAGAACCTCCTTCATACAGACATGTGAGGTTCAGGATGGGGGGAAAGGATGGGCCTGGCAGGCCCAGGACCACAGCCACCTCTGCAGAAGAACAGCTCTGCGGTACAGTACTTCAGGGTCAGTGCCTTCGAGGCGTGGGTATCGCACCAGACTGGTTGGCTGGAACAGGTCTGCATTTAACCCTAGTTCCCGCTGTCTAGATGACTTGATCTTGATCCCTCGAAGACGCACGTCAATCCCATCATCTGGGGGAAGGAGTCAGAGCAAAGTTACTTAGGGCACCTACTGCCTCTTTGGTTCTCAGAGCTGAGAATGGCTCTTTGATGCTCAGACTTTTGTCATCCATAGCCCGTAGAAACTTGGGACCTTTGTGAGCCCCTTCTACTCATTGACTCTGATTATTATATTCTTTGCCGGTTCCTCCATCCATCACTGTAATATTGGGATGCCTGAGGGTCCCAACTCAGTTCCTCTTCCAGATGAGCCCAAAACCTCTATGGCTTTAAGGAAGGCATATACCTGGCGCCTCCCACCTGGCTCAGGCCCAAAGCTTCAAATCCTGGAGTTAGTTTGATAGCCTTCATCCCAACTCCAACCCCATTTCTTCTCTACACTCACTAACAGCTAGCCACTATCTATACTCTGTCACTCCCTTTCCCTCCTTATAGCCTTAAGCCCCACCTCGGCACTCCACGATGCGGATCTCGATGACTGGGAGATGAACGGTCATGTCCTCCAGGACACATACATCCCCGATCAGGGTCCTGAGGAGATGGATGTGAGGCACTTTGAATACCCCTTGCCTGTAGGGATTGCTGGGCTCTAACCTAACCTTATGCTTCCAAGTGGGGGCAGGCCCCATTACTAGAATCATGCCCCATGTCCCCTCCCAGACCAGCTTGCTCACTCACTCATCAATGCTCACGTCACTCAGCTTCTTCAGGTTGTCCCCTTCGCCTCCATAGATCACTACCCGCTTAGGCATAAAGTTGTCATCTGTGGTATCCACTGTGAGCAGCAGCTTCCTAGGTGGTCAGAGTATACACATAGGTCTTTGTATACTTATAAGCACTTGGCCTGCCCACCCTGTCCTACCTCAGAGCCCACTCACTTGACAATGGTGCCCTTTTTCATGGTAAGCCGTACCCAGTGCTGGCACTGGGAACCATCACTCTCCCAGTAGGTGTCTGCATTACTGTCCGTCAGGCAGGACACATTGAACTCCTCCTGGGGTGGGGCAGAGAGGTGGAGTCAGTGTTTACCCCACTCTCTGCACTGGGAGGTGTGCTTTGGGCCAGGGAGCACAAGAAAAAAAATACACGGAGCTGGTCAAAAGCACAGCTGGTATGTGTGCAAGTGGGGATTCCTACAGGACTTCCAAAATACAGTGCTGGACTAAGTCTGGCCTGTGGGGTTCAGGTTTGGCCCTGGCTTAGAGGTGAGGGTTCTGGATCTAGCAAGATGGGACATCTTGCTTGGGGTGGGAGGAGTCCCAGCACCCACCGTGTAGGAGGAAACGTCTATGCTCTCCACATACTGCTTCACGCTACCCAGGTTCTCATCTTCCTTGCCCAGGTGGTCGTACAAGAAGTGGATCAGGTCTTCGTCACACTCGTAGGTCCACGTCGGGGGCACATAGCTAAGCAACCCCAAGTCCCTAATTAGGTCAGGTCCAGACCTGCAGATCCTTCCTCCCTATCCCACCCCAGCGCACTCACAGTAGCCTCTGTACAGCTTCCGTGTATGCCTCGGCTGGCTGGGGCCTTGATCCAAGGCGATGAGAGTATGTCAGGTCCACTACTTGTTCCCATCTGTGGGCACAGAGTAGGGGATGGGATGGGGAGACATCACTGGGCAGAATGACACCCCCAGTGGGCTTTCTCCAGAGCTCAATCTCCACCAATCTAGGCCTCCAGAAGCTTCACCCCAGCTCCATTCAGGTGCCGCCCCTTCCTGCTCTTAACCCGGCCTTCAGTCCACATCCCACCTCCCTCGCTGTGCCACACTTCCTTCCCGGCCTAGGTTATCAGGCATCAAGCTCTGCCCTTTCAAGTGCAGCACCTGAGCACAGGTCGGTAGTCCACGCCAAAGAGCTGCTGCTGCCGCTGAAGATGGTCAGGTGTGTCGATGGGTACGAGGCGGGCCCCGCCCTCGGCCGGTCGGCACACCAGCAGCCAGCCTTCGTTCAGTCCGCAGTCGCCCAGGTGTTCTGCCAGCTGCTCCTGCCAAGAAGCGCAAGATGGGAACAGCCGTCAGGGAACTGCCCAGCGGCCCGCCCTGCCCAGCCCAAGGCAAAGAACACGGAACGCAATGCCAGCTCAATATGGGGGTGGGGAGGAGAACAGCCTGGAGCTTCCCTGGCCCCGGGGTCTTTTGCGGATCCCAGGGCAGGCCTGGGAGTACCTTGGTCAGCTTCACCCAGAGCCCGTGGCCGTTGCACAGCTCCTCTCCGGTAGTACGCACGCAGGCGCCGCGCCGGAGCTCAATGCTGTCGCGGGCAGCGCGGAGGGGCCCGGAGCCGGTACCAGGGGCGGGGCCCGCGGCTCCCACGCGCAGCCCCAGGCCCTCCGCCTCCCACACCGGCAGCAACACGCGCGAGGGTCCCGCCGGGTCCTTGTAAAGCTTGTAGAGCACCTCGCGCGGCACGAAGGCCAACGCCTTTGGTAGCGGCCGTCCGGCGCGGAGGCTCTGCGCTGCCTCCGCCAGGAAGCGCACGCGGCCCAGCAGCTGCCGAGGGGACTCTAGAGCCGCGCCCGGGCCTGGGCCCGCCATGGCGAAACAGCAAAAAGAAAGGCCAGGGGTGGTTGAGCTGCTGAAGCCGCCGCCACGAAGGCTTATCAAGCTTCTCACCACGCTCTGCCCCGCCTTCGGCCAGCCCTTGCCGTAAATTCTGGACTAAGGGCATCCCTCGCACCCGCCGTATTATCCTATGTACCCGGATACTTAATCTTTTTGCAAACCAACGTGCCTCCCACTCAGCCAACCAGACCCAAGTTCAGTAGTCTCCAACCTGATCAGTCTCCCCTTTTTCATCCTTATTGCTGCTACCATTTTATACCCTCATTGAACCACAATCATATCTAGCCTGAATCATTGTAACAGCCGTTTTTCTCGTTCTCTGGCCTCCTGTTTTTGCCTTCCCACACCCAATGAGTCATACTAAAACCAGAAGAATCTTTAAAAATCTTCTAGATATCCTCTCAGGCTCCCCATCCTAGGGGCAGTGTTACAACAACGTTTGGGAGAATAATCCCCTGCTCGACCCTACCAGTGACACGAGTCTTGAGTTGTTCAGGCTTGCTCCTGGTAGTTATTCCTAATCCTAGGACACACAGTTTCTCCCAGTAATCCTGAACCAGAAGAGAAGAAAGGTGCAAGGTGGGAAAGGGACTCCAAGGTGGTTAGATAGGATAGAGGCAAAAAAAAAAAAAAAAAAAAAAAAAAAAAAAAGAAAAAGAAAGATGGACAGGTGTTGAAGTACAACCATGGAGGAAAAGGAAACTTTGTCTTGTGCCCTCCCCTGCAACCAGTTTTACTGAGATATAATTCATACTCCATATAATTTACCCATCTAAAGTGTACAATTCAATGGTTTTTGATATATTAATTTTTAAAATTGTGGCAAGTGTAACAAAATTTTCCATTTTAACCATTTTAAGAGTACCATTATCTATTTTCAAAACGTTTTCATTACTCTAAATAGAAACTCTTTCTCTTTAAGCAATAACTCCTCATGGCCTCCTCTTCCCAGCCCCTGGTAAATTCTAATCTACTTTCTGCCTCTATGAATTAGCCTATTCTAGATATTCTATAGTGGACCCATACAATATTTGTCCCTTTGTATCTGTCTTATTTCACTTAGCATAATATTACAATAATATTGTAGCATGTATCAAAACTTAATGTATTTTTATGGGCTGAATAATATTCCATTATACATATGTGTGTGTGTGTATATATATATATATATATATATATACAGTATATGTGTGTATATACACATAAATATACACACTACATGTAGCTTATCTATTTATCTGTTCATGGACACTTGGATGGAAACTTTGTTTTAATATAATTTTCAAATAACCAAAGTTATCAAGAAAGAAATAATAAATGACATCATGTAATTTGGTCAGGTTTCCTTTTTTTTCCCTCCCTAGGAAGTTGGGAATGTAGTGCCCCACTTCCCTTCTCTCCAAGCTATTTGTATGCTACCACACTACTACAGAATAAAGTGAACAAGAAAATCTCACAAGGGCGCCTGCATGACCTGGACTCTGAAGACATCTCCAGCCTCTTTAATTTCACCAGATTAATCTTCTGGTTCCCATAATAGGTATTTGTTCTTTTGCGTCTTCTTCTTTTTTTTCTTTTTTAATTTTTTTAAACGTTTATTTTTGAGAGAGAGAGAGAGAGAGAGAGAGAGAGAGAGAGAGAGAGAGAGAACAAGCCAGGGAGGGGTAGAGAGAGGGGGAAACACAGAATCCCAAGCAGGCTCCAGGCTCTGAGCTGCCAGCACAGAGCCCGAGGTGGGGCTTGAACTCCTGAACCGTGAGATCATGACCTGAGCTGAAGTCAGACACCTAACCGACTGAGCCATCCAGGCGCCCCTTTTGCGTCTTCTTTTTGCACATGCTGTTCCTTCTGCCTGGAATACCCCCACTGCTTTCCCAGCTAAGCGAGGAGCTTTTGCTGGCTGCTTCTAGCTTTTTCCTCATAAAACATTTACTATTATGCTTGCCAATTCTGTTTCCCCACCAGTCTGTAGCTTCCTAAAGGAAGGGGCTGTCTTGGTCACCACTGTAACCTCCGCATCTATTATACTGCCCGCCTCTTAGTAGGTTATATAAATATTTAATGATTTCATTTCCCCGGATGGCTTGGTTCTGTAACCGACGGTGTGCCTAGTCATTACGCATAAGATTGTTAGAATCATTGAGCTGGGAGTAAAAGTGAATCTTGGGCTGAACCTTCGGGATTACCAGGGCATCCTGGTAACGCCTCCTCACCATCTCCTCATCAGAGGAGAGGAAACTGCTGATGCCAAGGTAAGGTGTAGTTATAGCGAGGTTCTTGGGGGTGGGGTGGGCGTGGGGCGGGCGTGGGGCGGCGTTTGTTGCTGCGTCGCTACAGCGGACTTTACGGTGACGGAGGTAGGGTGGTCCTACAGGCAGCAGCCGGGACAGCCCGGGAGCTGTTGCTGGAGTCTGATCATGTGACTTTCAACATGGCTACGGCCCTGGTTCATTCCAGGAAGGGGTGGAGCCTGATCTCAGAGCAGGTTCCAGTTCAGTTTAAAGTGCGGACTGTGCTTGCAGTCGCTGACAGCTTATCATGGAGGCTAACGGGTTGGGGTGAGTTCCCTGCACCACGAGGTGTGGCCAGTGTGGCTTCTGACCTGAGTCTTCCAACTCAGAAATCTGCCGCTATATCCCTCTTCCTCCGCCCTGGAGAGCTCCCAAACCGAACTCCAGTCGCTGGAATCCCGAATCCTCCACCCATGGATTCCCGAGACTTTCATTTAGGGGATGTCCCCAGGACTTTCTAGTCCTCAATTAAGATCCGTATTTCGGCACCGTCTACTCTGATTTCTCCTTGACTGTCCCTCAGCCTGGGGATCCATAAACTCCGGAACCAGCCCATAGGTACCCCAGTTCCTGAGATTTTTCTGGTCCAGAGACCCTAATCAATCCTTACTGAGCTTTCCTTCCCCCCTCTGCCCAGTCTTTCTAGTGGCTTTGGCTTTGAGCTGGGGGGAGTTGGGACTGTGTAAAATAGAGGCCCCAGCGCGGGCCCTTCTAGTCTTGTGCGCCATCTGATAGGTAAAAAAGAGGCGGAATGGGTGGGGAGCCACAGCTTAGGAACTGGCCTGGAGAAGGCAGATAGTGGTGTTGGAATGAATTCGCCTTAAGAACCCAGGCCTTTCCCAACCCCCAATCTAGTTTACTGACACCTACCCCCACCCCCTCCTGATCTCCAGATCCCAGGGTTTTCCAGAGCTGAAGAATGACACGTTCCTGCGAGCAGCATGGGGAGAAGACACAGATTACACTCCCGTTTGGTGCATGCGGCAGGCAGGCCGCTACTTACCAGGTCAGGGTCAGAGCTTGGGAGTCTAGGTGAAACTCTGGAGGGTGAAGTTTTTTGAGGGGCAGGGGAGGGGTTCAGAGGTTCCTCAAGGTGGAGCCCTGCCTTCCCTCTTCTGTTTGCAGAGTTTAGGGAAACTAGGGCTGCCCAGGACTTTTTCAGCACCTGTCGCTCCCCAGAGGCCTGCTGTGAATTGACTTTGCAGGTGAGAACTCCACAAAAAAGGGAGGAATTTATGCCCTCTGCTTGCCTCCTAGTAACCTGTCTTCTATTTCCTACAGCCACTGCGTCGCTTCCCTTTGGATGCTGCCATCATCTTCTCTGACATCCTTGTTGTACCCCAGGTACCTGCTCAGACCTGATGAGTAAGAAAGGGTAAAGATAGTCAAAGCTCAAGATAAGCACTTATCTTCACCTAACAGGGAAAAACTTGGGCTGAAAGATGGAGTGTGGCTGAGTTTCATTCTCCTTTTCCTCCTTCTTGGCATGGGCTAAACAGCCTTTCCTTCTAGAGTTACAGGTTGGGAATCCAGATATTTTCTCCCCCTCCAGGCACTGGGCATGGAGGTGACTATGGTGCCTGGCAAAGGGCCTAGCTTCCCAGAGCCATTAAGAGAAGAGCGGGACTTAGAACGCCTCCGGGATCCAGCAACAGTGGCCTCTGAGCTGGGCTATGTGTTCCAGGCCATCACCCTCACTCGACAACAGCTAGCTGGGCGTGTGCCGCTGATTGGCTTTGCTGGTGCCCCGGTAATGTGGAACATGGCAGGGACTTGGGCATGGGAAAATCACTCTGGAGGGTCTAGTGTACACAAGGGAAGGAAGTATCAGTCTGGCTTTTACACCTGTGACATTCTCTTTGTATCCTTTTGCAGTGGACTTTGATGACATACATGGTTGAGGGTGGCAGCTCAAGCACCATGGCTCAGGCCAAGCGCTGGCTTTACCAGAGACCGCAGGCTAGTCACAAGTTGCTTCGCATCCTCACTGATGCTCTGGTCCCATATCTGGTAGGACAAGTGGCTGCTGGTGCCCAGGTGGGTCCTGAGGGAGAGAAATAGGCTGGGGTCTAGAAGGAAAAGAAGCAGCAGAGTTTCCTATATCTGAGAGGATAAGTGTCTTAATGCCAGGCATGAAAGAAGCTTGGCCTGCAGTGATTTGGCTGGTGCAGCTAAGCCCACCTTGATGTTGACATTGGCAATGCTGTATGTGTTAAAAAACCAAAGTTAGCACTGGGATCTAAAGAAGGCAAAACTTTTTGAATGGAACTGGGTTTATAGGCTTAGGCAGTATGAGGGTCTGAAGTCACTAGGGAAAAATTGAGATACTTTCTGTGTGTGAGGCCTGAGATTCTTCCTCTTTGTGTGTTATATATTTCTCTTTACTACCTCCCAACTGTAGGCATTGCAGCTCTTTGAGTCCCATGCAGGGCATCTTGGCCCACAACTCTTCAATAAATTTGCACTGCCCTATATCCGTGATGTGGCTAAGCGCGTGAAGGCCAGGCTGCAGGAGTCAGGCCTGGCACCAGTGCCCATGGTAAGGATGGGGAAAGAGTAAGTGAAGGTGGGCCTGTGGAACTTTCAGGGTATTTCCTGCATGGACTAAAGTGACCACTAGAGGGCAGCAGAGGCGCAGCCAAGATAGGTTAGCGGGCATAGCAAGGTCCTTTTGTAGCCTCAGAGGTCTGCCCTTTTCCAGATCATCTTTGCTAAAGATGGACATTTTGCCCTGGAAGAGCTGGCCCAAGCTGGCTACGAGGTGGTTGGGCTTGACTGGACAGTGGCCCCAGAGAAAGCCCGGTGAGTGATGGTGGGTGAGGTGGAGAGGGTGCAGCTGCCATGTGTGCAATCACCAGAACGTGGCACTGACTCTGCTTTCAGGGAACGTGTGGGGAAGACGGTGACCTTGCAGGGCAACCTGGACCCCTGTGCCCTGTATGCATCTGAGGTATCAATCCGAGTTCCTGTGTATGTCTGTGAGTTTGTGTACTCCTGTGGTTGTGGATATGGTTGTGTGTATTACTGTGTGTTTGTGTCTTTATTATATCTGTT